AGAACCGAACTGATTCGGTAGCCTCTTTCTACAGTGTGCAGGACCCATTGAGACACATTTAGCAGAAGTTTCCACGCTGCCAAAAAGGTCAACTAAGGGAATAAGTCTCTTGAGACTGATCTCTGGTGTAATCAGTGCGGCTAGGTCGGTGCCCTGAAGCGGCGAACCGGCAAGGGATGGCCGAACTAGCTGCTCTAGAAACCTCAGAAGAGGTAGCGAGCCTCTTAGTACCGCTACGTTTCCGGGCGGTGACTGAGAGAAGCGCTCGCCGGAGACTGCTGCGGCCTGAATCACCGTAGGTGGCAGGGTTGGCAGATCGATCTCCCGAGGGCACTGAGGAGAGATGGGCACCATATAATAAGGTGTACACCACTCTTCCTCAGAGGGGCCTGCCCTCTGAAGTCCTGAGCCATGCATCAGGACTCTCTTAGCTGAAGTCTCCTATTGAAAACGACGGTCCTCAGACCCGCGTCATCTCCTAGGAAGACTAGACTGATAGAACCAGAGCCTGCTCGGGGCAGGACCCAATGAGACATGCTTAAACTTTGACTAGGCTACACAAGTTGCCTATTAATTGTATACCGTATATGAACCTGAAAGCATATTTTAATTTTTGTGTATTTTGTGTCACTCCATAATAATGTTCAAGTTGAGGGCATTTGTAGTATAGGTATGGGGCCCAAACATAACCTCAAGCCCAGGGGCCCCCGGCCCCATAAGTCCTGCCCTGCTCGCAGTGCATTATGGGCATTCTCTAGGCGAATGCGGCGAATGAGGTCTCTGCAAAGTAAAAGTGGGCGTTTCTCACTTTGTGGGTGTTTTCAAACTGGTGGATTTTTCAAAATCATGCAATGAAAATGATCCCCTTACATGACCCCAATCCTAAACATACCCATCACTATGACGTCACAACTCCCATTACTTTCCTGCAGAGAGCTATACTTGGTTGAGCATGCACCAGTTGTATACTTGTTTATGCGGTACCCAATAACGTCCACTATGGTTTCGGACTACACTACAAATGGCTGTCCCCTCAAATAGTGCCCTATTTAAGGGTATAAGGGGCGATTTCGGATACAGCCAAGGGCTTATATATACAGAGAACATGGAGATAATTAGTTACAGGTGTGACTAATCAGGGTAAATATAGTAACTAACAAGACAAGACGAGACAGAAACCAAACACAGGAAGGAAGCATGAACCAGAGGAAACTAAAACTAAATTTCAACATAAAAGTCCATACAAAACACAAGAAACAGAACAGGCATTGTGACAGTTTCCCAGAAGACAAAATAAGTATTTTCCCCTGTCATCCTATTCAAAAAGGCTCTTTATTTACAAACCCGATTCCAAAAAAGTTGGGACACTGTACAAATTGTGAATAAAAACAGAATGCAATGATGTGGAAGTTTCAAATTTCAATATTTTATTCAGAATACAACATAGATGACATATCAAATGTTTAAACTGAGAAAATGTATCATTTTAAGGGAAAAATAAGTTGATTTTAAATTTCATGGCATCAACACATCTCAAAAAAGTTGGGACAAGGCCATGTTTACCACTGTGTGGCATCCCCTCTTCTTTTTATAACAGTCTGCAAACGTCTGGGGACTGAGGAGACAAGTTGCGGAATAGGAATGTTGTCCCATTCTTGTCTAATTGGAATTGGGTTTGTATTTATTTTCTTGAGCATTGCTGAATGTTTTCACCTTGTGTAATATTTGTCTGTGAGTCCTTCGGTTGTCTTTAGTTGTCTTCACAAAGCATTAAGAATCACTGGTTAATTTGTATGCTATTATAGTATTCTCATCAAGGCATCTCAAACACACCTAATAGTGTTGCCATTAATGCAGAGGAACAGTTTTATTTGCCTGCATTCATCTGGAAGAAATTATGAATTGATTAAAAATTATGATTGATTTCTTCTTCAGGTGCATCTGGTGTTGATACAGACAGAGTGTTTGTGATGGAGGGAGAATCAGTCACTCTACACACTGGTGTTGAAACAAACCAACAAGACAGAATCAAATGGTATTTCAATGACACTCGCATCGCTCAAATCACTAAAGATCTCAGCAAGATCTGTACAGATGTTCAGTGTAATGAAGGTACTGAGAGATTCAGAGACAGACTGAAGCTGGACAATCAGACTGGATCTCTGACCATCATGAACATCACAACCACAGACTCTGGAGTTTATAAACTACTGATAAGCAGCAGCAACATTAAAACATTCAGTGTCACTGTCACTGGTGAGTATCATTTTAGTCTTTCAGTGCTTTTTCACTTCAACGGTTTTAGAAAACTAATATATTTAAATCGAACCAGTAAATGTTTCCGTTGTGGCCTGTTTGAAGAAGTGAGCTTTCACTCAATATTACAATACAACTCAGATCAAATCTATCATCTTCACATGCACTTCACATCAAACTGACAGACAGTTGATACATTGAGTTTTTGTCACCTTATGAATTTTAAATGAATTTTAAACTTTTGAAGTCTACTGTTATTAGAAAAAAAAAAATCAAATAATTTGTAAGTTTTCCTGTGAATACTGCTGTTTCTTGTTTTTCTTGCTGTTTTAGCTGGTGATCCTTACAAACCCACCAGACGACACCTTTATTAAATAAATCAATAGCATACACTGTAAAAAAAAAAAAAAAAACTTTAAAAAGACTGGCAGCAGGCCTTCCAGACATATTCTGTTAAATTACAGAAAAAAATGTAAAAATACAGAATATACTTTACGGTCAAAATTCATTAAATTACAGTATATTACTGTTATTACTGTTAATTTGTTTTTAAACTATGGAAAAACGGATACATTATGTCAAATAACAGAAAAACAACCAACTTTCAGGTTAATTGCTTAAATCGTTATTTTATAAAACTGATCTGTCCATCTACAGTAATTTACTTTTAAAGTACAGATTTTCCATGTACAATAACTAAGAAATAATTTATAAAAATGCAGTAAGCACATATTTAAAAAAAATTAATAAATAAAAAATAAAAATAAAAAAAACGTTGTATATTTTCAGGATTAATCCTTTTTACAGAAATCTCACAACTTCAACCAATCTCTGTAAATTAAAAGGTATTTATAAGTTATTTTATGTCTACCTAGAATAATCTAGTTAAAATACAGATATTATTAATTACAATAACCAAGAAATATTGTATAAAAATTTAAATTCGTAATACAAAGACAAATGTCTGTAGATATACATTTTAATCGTTAATTTTCTAGAAATATTACAGTTTAAAATGTTTGGACAGTAGAGAAATGAGCACATTATGTAAAAAAAAAAGCAACATTTAAAATAGCACTTTTTTGAGCTTCAAACTCATGGCAGCCATTCACTACCAATATAAAGCCTGGAAGAGCCAGGATGTTTATTGATATGACTCCGATTGTGTTTGTCTGAAAGAAGAGAGTCATATACACAAAGGATGGCTTGAGGGTGAGTAAATCATGGGGTCATTTTCATTTTTGGGTGAACTATCCCTTTAATGGGCCAAGTGATCATGAAAAAAAAAAAGTATTTTTATCCATTTCTTGAAAATGGGCAGAGTTAGTCAGTTTATTACAACAGCAACAAACAGTCAAAGTAAAGGTCTGTGAAAGTGAATTTGTACCTCTTTGGGATGTGAAGTGAGCGGCTACTGGCAACCAGTGCAAAGTGATGAGGTGTGTGACGTGCACTCTCTTCAGCTCGTTAAAGACCACTCGCAGTGCCACATGCTGGATTAGTTGCAGAGGCTAGGTAGTACATGCTGGAAGGTCTGCCAAGAGAGCAGTACAATAGTCCAGTCTGGAGAGAACAAGAGCTTGGACAAGGAGTTTTGTAGCATGCCCCGTAAGGAAGGGTCTTCCTAATGTTGTACAGGGCAAATCTGCAGGATCGGGCCAGTGCAATGTGGTCAGTGAAGTTTATACATGTCAACTGTAACACCAAGGTTGGGTTGGCAGAAAACAAGAGCAGTTCTGTCTTGGCAAGGTTGAGTTGATGTTTCATTCAACATCCAGCAAGACATTTCTGTCCAGGAGGCAGAGATGCAAGCAGTGACCGTCGGAACATCCAGCTGGAATGAAAGGGAGAGATGTGTGTCATTACAATAGCAGTAATATGAAATGCCATGTTTCTGAATGACAGACCCATTGT